AGCGTGTTTGTTTGATAAGACCATAAAAATATCCAGTTCGTGCGTGGAGCAGGAATAAGCTATATTACTGTATTCTTCAAATACAGCAACACTGCTTGTACACTGCTGGAAGTGACTCCATGCACAGTGGGCAAGAACACATCCTCTGGCAAAATGCAACCTCTGCGGCGCAGCACGAGGGACTGTATAGACCATGTCACGCAACCTGTTTTAAAACGCATAAGTTCACGCTTGCTTTACGAATCTCGATATTTCTTATCATATTCAATTCAATTTTTGGCTGGTCCGCCTGCCCTTTTCCACCCTTCGCATACTCATTCTCGTGTTTCCTCTTCAGATGGCGAATAAAGTTCGATGATATACGCCGACTGCACCATGTATAGTTTCGTTGCACAACTTTCAGCGTGCAGCTTGTTAATTTTCTTCGCGACTTATGTAGAAAAATGTGTTCTGCGATGCCATGACTCGATCTGTATTTATCTTGTCTTCTCGACCGAATTGTAATGTTCCTCTTCGCGCTGATCGAGCGGCGGGTTCAGGCAGCAGACGGCACCAACCGATTTATTCTTCTACCTCGATGTCGGTTGTTCGCGTTGTGGCGACGGGTCGGGAGTCAACGTTGACAAAGCTCTTCACACCAAGATACAATTAATGGGGTGATACCGCACCGTTCGAATTGACATTCCCCGTGTTTCCTCAACAACACCGTCCAACTGACTTCTCACCGCCTCAAAAAGGGTCCAGGACAAGGAGCACGAATGCAGACCGGACAGCCGAGACGCGCGGAAGCCAAAACCTCAGTGGCAGCTAGCACCCAGCTCTCCTTCTCAGTTGCCCTCACAGCAACGGTCGCGCCTCGTCTGGCGCGGGACGATCTTTCTGCAAGTCTAGTCAGTTCGGTCACACCAAGAGCGGTGACGATAGTCAACTTCACCTTACGATGGACCTCAACAGACAGCACGAGAGCCATCGAAACCAATCCCGTGCTTTCTGAGTGTCGCGTGACCCTGCAGTCCCGCTCACGGTGCTGGATTGCCTAGGGTGACTCGTAGCGTCCGCAGCGGTCCATCGCAAGGTGAAACGAAGTATGCAGAGACTAAAGTCAAAGGAAATGGGCGGGAATCCGCTAGCTTGCTTGTAACCCCAACCCACTAAAACATATAACACAGAAAACAAGCATCGGAACAAAGCCCAAGTAATAGGGGGACTTACACTACAAATGCAGTATAAAAAACAAGCCTCGGAGCCAAGCGCAAGAGGAGAAGAGGGAAGTGAATCTTGCTTTGTTTTAATGCCAAAGCAAACCCACATTTCGCACTTCAAAGAAGTGCGCACGAATGAACGTGGAAGGCAGCATGGTCGGCTGCCTGCTAAACAACGCGCCTCGAACTATAAGAAAACAATACCTGATCATCTTTCTACGTTGCCCGAGTCAACGAGTTATCAGAGCTCTGCGAGTTATCGCTTCCGCTCCCAGATCTCAGTCTGTGCGCGCGCGTGCATTCTACAAACCGTCGCAGCAACAACAAAAAAAGCATGGCAAGAAGGACGATGAGGAGTGTGCATGGCGGTTTCTTTCTTTGCCGCTCCCTTTTCTCTTTCTTGGTGCTTGGTTTCTTGTTTCCCTCTCGTGTAACGCCATCGATGCCCGATTCGACGCCTGCGCGTCCGCGAAAGGCGCCACGTTAGCCCCCTCCCCCCTTTCCCCCTTTGCTCTTTGCTTCGACGCTTGTTTTTTGTATTGCATTTTTTGGCATATAAGTCTGTTAGGGCTCCACGCGGGCTAGCAGTTTCCCGCTCATTTTATTTCTGAGCAACTGACTCGCTGACTGGCTCGGTATAGCTAACCGTAAGCACTAAAAAAAAAAAAAAAGAATAACCGTGCCCATTCCATTCCCATTCCATTCCGGGCAAAAGGCACTTAATTCCATTCCCATTCCATTCCCCTGAACGTTGCCGCCATTCCATTCCCATTCCATTCCGGGGTCGTGAAAATGCGGAATGATTCGGGAATCATTCCAACTCCGGAGTGGCAACTCCGCAACACTGGTCGCGAGACCGATGTCTTAAACAAGCATCGACATATCAAGGGGCTTTCTCGATGTTTGCAGTACATTGTAAATAAACACTTTCTGCCACCAGCGGTTCGCTTAGTAAAAATCAGTGCTTTTTTAAGGGATTTAGCTTTTTTTTTAAATTGTCTCTGCATTTGATAATGTCAGCATTATGCTGCTTATGCCGGCAACTAAATGTAGCTGTCAAGTGCCAATTTTTACGTTTAGGAATTAAAGGAATGGAATGGAACGATTCAGCCATTCCAGGAGTGGGAATGGGCTCAGTGGCTCCATTCCTAGGAATTGAAAGAAATGGAATTATCGAAAACTCTAATTCCCCGGAATGGAATTGGAATGGAATGGGGGTGCCCATTCCGCAACACTGCTATTTACGATCCTTGCCTGGCGCAGGGGGTCTAGATATATCAAGTATAACTGTGCCTAAACAGCAAACGAAACAACAAATCACACAAGAAAATTTATTTGTCATTACCCGCAACTCTGTGGAAAACCATCAATATGGGGTCACATACAGTTAAAAAAAGGCGACATTATTGGCGCGAACGTAAGTCGGTTTGCGAGTTACTCCTTTCACTTTTAAAAGTATGAGTTGGTTCCTGACGGACGGACGTGAATTGCGACTCTACAGCTCTGCCGGGAGCGGTACATTTGCTCAAACACAAGGTATCGCAGAGTGAGTGAGTGAGTGAGTGAGTGAGTGAGTGACTGACTGTGTGTGTGTGTGTGTGTGTGTGTGTGTGTGTGTTTGTGTGTGTGTGTGCGTGTGTGTGTGTGTGTGTTCGTGTGCGTGTGTGTGTGTGTTTGTTTAACCGTTTAGAATGTTTGGGAACAGATAAGCTGCGGCCGTGCGCTGCGGTTTCTTTACAGGTTGACGTAGCGTTGCATGCAGTGTGGCCGTGCATACTTCGACATTGAATTAATTCGCACATATTAAAACAGCCGTGGCATGCTTTTACCAGCCGGCAACTCCGACATTAAGAACACCTGACTGAGTTCAAGGAGTGTGTGCGACTGCACAGCTGTGCGCGAAAGGACAAATTAAACAATATAGCATCCTCCTCTTTGTCTGAATAGCTCCGCCTGTCGAGAGCGAACGAAACCACAAATAAAAAGAGCATTTATCTTGAGGCGGACTTCACTGTCGACAAATGTTATTGTGCCTGGATTATTTCCTCGACCCCGGAGACCTGGCGCACAGGCAACCTACCTTTGCGGAGGTTCACCTCCTAAAATAATAACCGTTTTTCAACAGGCGGGAAGTCCCAATAATATCAAAACGCGCTGCTTGAAATTGCAACTGGCAGCAAGACGGGACGAGGGAACGCCGAATTAGGGCGAATTCGCGCCACGGCGCGGCGATACTGGAATTCTTTTAGCGCACCGGCCCACGACCGCAGAGGCAAAGAATGTCCTCGATGTGTGAAGTCGTTAATTTTTAGAGGCCCTAAAACCGCCTGGAAAGCTTGTATCTGGCTTGTCTTCTTCGTTCTAGCGTGCCATAGACTTGTACAAAGGCGGCCTTGGATGAGTTGATCTCGTCCTAATGACTGTCGTGCCATCGCAGTACTCCCCCTTTCACATTGTAGAAAAAATACGACGTTGGTCAGCTTGATGGTGTCATCCCAACGAGTACATTGGTTCACCCGGGCGCGATTTTGAAGCCAGACGTGAACATCTGCGTCGGCTGAACCGGTAAAGTCGGGGGGGAGAGGGGGGGGGGGAATTACGTTGGCGAGTTCTGATTGGTGGTGCATTGATACGACGCTGGTCTCTGTCACTGGCGCTGTCGTCGGCCACAGCGGTGAGAGTTGACCGTCCACTGTGCAGCTCAAATGTCGGAATAGCCAAATGAAGAGGTTAGGGAACGTTAGCTCACCTCCCCGATGTGTTCGGGTGCTGGTAAAGGGTAATTTCATAAAGGAAAAATGAGATGTACGGTGAATGTACATCGCAGTATATCGCTCGAAAAAGACATCATACAGAGTGCGGGCTCAGCGAGGCCCTGCCCCTTGGCGATGCACATTTTTCTTTACACTCTTCATAAGTTTCAAATTAAAATATAAATGACTCTTTAGGTGTGTCTCGTTTTGTTTTGCTTATAATTATTTTATATAATTTAATAGAAGTACAATAATAGAAATACTACGTTTATTTATGACTCACGCATTGGTTTACTGCGCATCACTTTATACTGACTGGTTTTTATGAAAATTAATAAAGGCAAAATATAGGGTGTCTCAAGCAGACCTTCCGCTGTAAAGCGAGCCGGAAAGACCGTTGCCTGTACATATCAAGTTGAAACATTAACCGAATGTGCATTGAGCAAATGAGTCTTCCTGTGGCATTAATTGAGAAATGCAAGCGTGACGTTTTGCATTGCTTAATGTCACAACTCAGACACCGTTTCTTGGTCTAAACATATGTTTCGGCATTGTCATTAGCTGAGTTGCTTCTGTAAGTTCCGCTGATTAGCTCTCCGAGTGTTGTGCGGGAAAGTAGACGCACGGAATTTTTTTAAAGTGTAGCTTACGTTAAGCCTGACTGCGTTACCGACGCTATAAACTTGTAGCGTTTTCTCATTTTTTTACAGAAAGATAACTACGCCTTGAGATTTTACACAGTGAGACTGACCTGCTCAGTGCAGGTTCATGGAAGTCCGAGCTTGCTATGTGCAAACGGCCTTTTTCAAGCTCGTTTTACTGCAGAAGATCCGCTTGAGACACCCCATGTGAATAAGACCTCCCTCGTTATTATATCAGCAATCAACAAAAAGGTATAAGATTTCAAGTGTACAACTATCTTAACTGAGTAATTTTTTTTTTCTTCTAGAGGATTCTGCGAAAAATATTAAGCGCTGGCCGCAGAAAACACGGGCGATGGCTTTTATCGACATGGTTTGTCAAGGGTACCCTAGCAACCTCGACCATGGCTCTATTCCTCTTCATCCTGTACAGAAACGGTGTCTTCGCGAGGCTACAGGAAATACCCTACACCAGTTTCTCTTATTCACCGGAGATCAATGCTCGTGAGATATTACGTTTATTCGAAGAAGGCAAAGAGCCGGCCTACGTCGTCCTGAACCCGTACGAGCGCTACGTCTTCAAGATTCGCAACGAGCTCAAGTGCGACACCTCGCAGAGGACAGCACCAAGCATGCCCCTGGTCCTGGTCGTCAAGTCGGCCCTGGCTCATCGTTCCCGACGGGACGCCATCCGCCAGACCTGGGGACAGGAGGACCGCTTCCCGGGCGTGGTCCTCCGACGCGTCTTCGTGGTCGGAGTGGACAGCAAGGACCCCAGCGTCCAGGACGCCTTGAACTCCGAGCAGGCAGTCAACGGAGACTTGGTGCAAGCAGAATTTGAAGACACTTATTACAACACCACCATTAAGACAATGTTGTCCTTCCGTTGGATCCTGGAGCAATGTCCCAATGTTCAGTGGTTTCTCTTCGTCGACGACGATTACTACGTGTCTGCGAAGAACCTAATCGAGTTCGTTAAAGACAAGGACGGCTCCAGTGAATGGCTTTGGACGGGCTGTGTTTTGCAGTCCAACAGACCTGTCCGGCAACACTACGGGAAGTGGTACCTCTCTCTGTCCGAGTACCCATACTCTCAGTTTCCTCCGTACGTGAATGCGGGAGCGTACGTGCTGTCAAGGCGCATGCTGATCGACCTGTACCGCGTCGCTCGTTTCACGCCACAGTTCCGCTTCGATGACGTCTTCCTTGCTATCCTGGCCAATAAGATGGGGTTACAGCCACGCCACAGCGACAAGTTTTGGTACAACCGCGATCCGATGACGGAAGAGGACTTTGTTGGGGTTGTAGCCATTCATGGGTTTGAGGATCCTCTTCGCCTGGTGCAAACTTGGAAGCACCAGAGCAGGCTCGGTCAAGCGTGATTAAGTTATTTTGTCCGTCCATCACTTGGCGGGAATTCCTTGTCTTGCCTTGTGCCCTGAGGGTAAAGTAAATAAAATAAATAAATAAATAAATAGACATTTTGGGTAAAACGCGACTGGCCAACTCAAAGAGCGACGTTTCGGACTGAGTGTGTTCCATGACCTGAGCGAGCGATATAAACATGTGGCTTGTATAGATTGTAACAAGGTGCTGAACTGGGCGAGTTGGTAAACGTTTGACACGGTGGGTGTAACAGCTTCAAAAAACGAGGACGAAGAAAGGAGCAGACGCGACAGGACAATAGCTGTACTCGCAACTGAAATGTTTTATTTGGAAAGGAAAAGAGAAACGTATGTCAGTACCAGATAACAAGGGTTCTGCGTTTTCGGTTGTTATTTTTTTTAAATTCGGAGTACTTTTTTCGGTGTTTACTTTAAAATTCAATTTTCTTTTTTTTTTCGGTGCATATTTATTCCCAAAACAGTTTACCTTTTTTTTTTTTCTTGTGAATATAAAAGAAACACCATCGGACACCGTATCAGATGATCCTTGTAGCTGTGATATTTGTGATCACTCAAAGAATAACGACACATATATATACGTGGTCTTCATTACAACTTCCGTCAGGACATATCTTAAAATCGCGGAATTCGCGGGCATAATCTTCAGTGCGCTTATTTTTCCTTCTCATTCTGACGACGTGACCGTCTGAGGTGATTACCGTACAAACACCAGCGGAATGGCAAAAAAAAAAAATCCATCGTATTTATGGAAGTTTGAGAGAGCGTGACGGCTTTCCTCGATGTCCTCTGAGGTGCCATGAAGCGAAAAACCTTATACTGGCCCACATCCGAAATTTTTTGGGGAACCGGGAACTTGACACACTAAGCCCGATCACAGAAAGGACACAGATGTCTCGCGAAGACCAATCCACGACCTCTTTTGTTGCATGTTGAACCCTGGAAGAGGGCAATTACGAAGACGTCACACAACGTCGAACCTCGCAAAGCCCTCTTTCCCTCTCTTTCCCCCACCCATCTCGACGCGGCCCTAAAAAACTGACCTTTTTCGGTTAAACCCGAATACTAGAAAACGGATTAGACGTACTTTTATCGGTTTTTATCGGTTTAAACTGAAAACGCCGAACCTACAAACTGAGCTTTTTCCGGTTAAAACCGAATTTCCGAAAATGGGTTTGGCGTACTTTTATCGGTGTTTATTCCGAACCCTACAGATAACACAGCGTGTAATCAAACCCCCCACCGTGGCCCTCAGCGAGTAAGCATGCTCCCGTTTCTTGGCGCAGGTTAAGAGACTGAGGGCGTCGGGGTACTCGTCAGCACTTTTAAAGAAGGTGGCAAGTGCCCTTCTGAAGAAGGCAAAAGGGAAAGAGAGGGTGAGGGTCGACGTACAGAAAAAAGCGAAAGGTGGTGTTCCCCCCATCCACCGTGTCTCCCACAACCTTAAAGAAGTTGGAGGCCGGTATGGAGTCCCAGTAGTGTTCTCGGCCCCCTAAAAAATGAGCCAGATTGTGCAAGGGTGGGCGGCAGAGCCGATAATTGGTTGAAGGCGAAGTGTACCAAAAGACACAGAAAACCCTTTGTGTCGTGTGTCTCGAGTGTGGTGTACAAGATACCCCTGTCACGTGGTAAACTCTACATAGGCCAGACAGGGAGGTGCCTTAACGATAGGCTCCGAGAGCATGCTTACTCGCTGAGGGCCACGGTGGGGAGACCCCTCCCTTTGCATTGCAGAGACTGCACGTGTCAGCCGGCCTTTGACGAGGTGACGGTTGAAGGGAGGCATAGAGAGAGGGCCACTCGCGAAATTATTGAGGCTTTTTATATTTCTTGCCTCGGAGAAAGATATGTGAGTGAGCCGTCGGTTGCCTCATGTGATAAGGAGCTGTCTTTTTTGCGCCAGACCATGACGCGCACGGGTTACGTCGAGTGAACCGATTTTAATGACACGTGCCTTGTGAAGGGCGTATTGTTTGATTACACGCTATGTTATCTGGTACTGACATATGTGTTCTTTTTTCCTGTCCAAATAAAACATGTTAGTGGCCAGTACAGCTGTCGCCCTGACGTGTCTGTTCCTTTCTTCGTCCTCGTTTTTTTGAAGCTGTTACACCCATCATGTCAGGCTTGTATAGAGTATCACATATATCATGGTAAAACCTTTGATTTCACGTTTTCGGGTGCTTCAAAGGTACGTTCCTTTTTTTTTTTTTTTTTTGACTGGTCGGCGAGCTTGATTTATTTAAGCACACCGCGATAGAGCCTCGACGTTCCACAAAACTGTTGCCAATAATAATCCCTGTAGAGTGGAAACAAAGGGACAAAGAACAAACACAAATCTCCCTTTCTTTAGGGACTATATATTATCATTCTTGATCCCCTTCCTTGTGGATTAATATTGTCACTCTTGTTCAGCTCGCTTGCACCTTTGCATTAATTGCAATATAATCAGAACTATTCCATGTTTGTATAAAAAGGTGACATAAATTAAGTTATTGGGTAAAAAAAAAAACTTTCTCAGTGACGATATTATTACAGCGGGTTGTAAAAGTATTGAGCACGTTTCGCTATATGTAAAATTAAACATAGATATATAGCACTTTCTTTGTTCGCGCATTGCTTTCTCAGTGACCAATAGAAATAATGAGTAATTGCTAAAAATGCCTTACAGGCATTAGAAAAGGTTATTACTTTATCTACTTTGGACGGGTGGATTTACATAACAGGATCTTAAAACAAAACCAAAAGTATAGGAAAGTACTTTTTTTATTAAGTGGTATTAAAACTTGTGACGGCTTGAAGCTGAGCTAGTTGGTTCATGATTGTTAAAGTGCCAGCTGAACGTTTTACAGACACACACACAGAGAGGAGCGAAAAAGGCACACACACCGCTGGTCTGACCAGACACACCAGCGGTGTGTCTGCCTTTTTCGTTCCTCTGTGTGTGTGTCTGTAAAACGTTCAGCTGGCACTTTAACAAACTAACAGTGGTATTAAAATTAGTAAATTCTATATGGTGCTTTAAACTAAAGAAAAAAATTACCGCATCTCCACGTGGTGAATGATGTTGATTGGGGCGAAGCTCTGGTGGTGCTGATGATACTGATTTTGGTCATAGGTAGTGCTGATGGTGCCGTTTTCATTCATGTTAGTAGGAGAATGTGTGGTTTTCTTCTTTTTCTTTTTTTTAAGATTGATTGATTGATTGAAAACGTTTAATGGCCATAAACTAAGGGATGAGGAATAAGGGCGGTGTCGGTGGTGACGGCGACCTGGATACTTTTGGCACTATACTACATACTATATACACTACATGTGAACATCGAGTTTCGCCTCAAAGATAAAGTCCAAGAGACTCTTCAGAATGTTCACGTTGTCTGGTGATCTTAGAGGTGGTCGCACCCATTCCTCCAGCGATGTGATGTTTGTGGGCTTGTGCTTTGTCCTCAAGTCCTTGTAGTATGGACAGTTCCATAGAAGGTGGACAGTGTCTGCCTTTGCTGTTCCGTTGCATTTTACGCATGTGCCTGATCACCCTTTACCCCACCGGTTAATCCGGGCCGGAGTGGGATTGGCGTTGGCTTGTAAGCGAGTGAGGATTACTCGTCCTCTTCGTCCTAATCCCCCTGGAAGGGAATCCGGATCCGAGGGCAAGCTTTTCCACAGGCGATGCTTGTATTGCTCTTTGATGCGAAGCTTTTCTTCACCGGGGTCGTAGTTGTTTTCGACCGCGGACTCCTGCGCTTGATTACAAGCGATGGAGTAGCCGTGGTCCAGCTGGTGTGAGGGCATAGCGGATTGCTCGCGGAGGGAGATAACGGCGACGCGAGCAAGCTGATGTGCCTTTTTGTTACCCTGGATTCCGGCGTGACCCGGAACCCAGCTGATAATAGTCTTCATCCCCTCCAAGAGGAGACGAGCAGCAATTTTCTTTATTTTCCCCACCCTTCGGCACGGGCTGTTGGCTTTTTTACATTCTGTTTAAGACGACAGGTGGGATGGCAACTCAGAACCCCCTACTCTTTTTTTTCTTCTTTTTCTTGATACTGATTTTGGTCATAGGTAGTGCTGATGGTGCCGTTTTCATTCATGTCAGTAGAAGAATGTGTGGTTTTCTTGTTTTTCATATATTTAAGAAGACAGATAGGATGGCATCTCATGGCGAATTCCACTGGGCGTTTTGGAGTGCGCCGGGATCAGTTGACCAGATCCGGACTGGAGCACACGATCCGAACGGAACATGACCACTGCTCCGAAATCGGCGGATGCCTTCCCGTCATTCAACTGCCCGGGAATAGCACGTCTTCGAAACGATCCGCGGCCGCCGCAGTCGTTTCGAATACGTTTTTGCAATCGCGGCGCTAGCACGTGTTCGACGCAAAAGTGGCAGGAATGGCTTAGGCGCTTCTAGCAAAAATAGCCGGAATGCCCGTAACGCCGGCAAATGCCTTCTCCTTCCTGGAAAATGAATAGACCGATCCCACCAAACGTTCCACGCATGCGTGACGTCGCCATAACTGTAGTTCGTAGGAGGCAGACGCCAGTTCACGCGACAGCCAATGCTGCCTTGTGGTCTGCTCGCGCAAACCTCCAGCAGGGTTGTCGCGCGTGCAGAAAGACTACAGCTTTCACGATGCATATCGGCAGCAGTGGCGTACTCAAACTAGCTGTGAGATCGGTCTACTGGCTGTTGAGCCAAGGGGTAAGCAAGCGGCCATTACGAATTCTTCTGATGTCGAGGCAATATAAAAGCCCAGCCCGCGACGTGCTTCTTCTTCTGAAACGAGATGGGTGAGATCAGGCGAGATGCCCCACGAGAAAGGAAGTCCCGTGTGTGCGCCGAGGGCTGGCCCGGCTGGCGTCCGGTTGAATCCCCCGAAATCGTCGGAGCGACTTTTCTCGGATCCAGATCGAGATCTGGAGCGGGAGCTAATCCAAAACGACCTGTGAAACACATCGGTTTCGATCCCGATCGCTCA